CCTGACAAATATTTCCAAATCTATCAGGGTTTAAAGATTTGCAATTTTTTTGATGTCTTTAGATACGGCGCACCATATCAGGTTTTAGTTTTGTGATTGTGTTTATCACATAATTATGTGAATCATCATCCCTGCATTTAACATTAGTATTAAATTAAAAGAATTTATTAAAAATGAGTTTTGTATATTCAATTCCTACAACTGGTTCAATTTCTTTTTCTGAGTTTCTTTTGGATCAAGACAAGCTATATTTAAATGGAATTTCAGAAGCAACAGCTCAAAGAGGTCGTGTGCGAGCAGTTTTAAAAGAAGCAAATAAAACGGAAGGACCAATAGATTATACAAAAATTATAAAGGTTTTGTATATGTTAAAAACATATTAGTTAATGTTTAAATATTTTTTCCTTTTTTCCAAAATTGAATAATTCCAATATTTTGTCTTTTGTATATATTTAAATATATTAACATATATAGATGAAATAAATTTATAAAATATTTAATTAGACGGTTGATGACTATTTACCATATTTATTGGCAATAGTTGATTGTTTGGAATGTGGACAATTGAAACTGAAGAAAGAAATTGGTAAATAAATATATGTATATTTTTGTTAAGTTATATGAAAGGGTTAAGGAAAAAAGTGATAAAATATATCAATACTAATATTTATAATTTCTTCTTGGTGAAAAAAAAAAAAAGAAACATCATGGCGTTGCTCGTTAACTGACTCGGTACTAAACAAGAAGAAGAAACCGCGTGTATCTTGTAAAGGAATCTATTATGAATTGATATTCACATTATTGACATATGGATATACATGTTCTGATTGGGCTACTAGTATTATAGAACGACAGACCAATAAAGATGAAATGGATCTTAAATTGAGACAGGTATTAGAGAGAAATGGATGCACATAAATATTGGAGAAATTGAGAGATGAAGATAATAATATTATTATTATCATTATTAAATTTACAATTTTTTATTAATTAGTTTATCAATTTATTTATTTATACGGACAGGCAGCAGATTTATTACGTAAAGCATCCGGAATCTTTGCCTATATTACAGAAAATATATCTCCAAGATGGGAAAACCCACCAAATTCTAGACCACTGGATGTTTTAACGGAAATATCAACATCACTTTCAAAGTGAGTATATATATTTCGTATATGTATTTAGAGTTTTTCTACAAATGATTTTAAAAATTATCATTGTTATTTCTATTTTATTCAAGAATCGCACTTGCAGATGCATCTTCAATTGCGATTCGTAAAGCTTTAATGCAACAAAAATCTTCCTCTTTACTTGCAAAGTTGGCCATTGGCGTTGCAGTAGAATATGAATCTGCAAATGGACTTCTTAATAGTTTAAAAGACCCACAAAAAGTTTGTGGGAATTTTCGAAAATATGTTTCGAATGGTGCTTTATTTCATCAGGTAAATGAATATATATTATGTGGTTTCCTCTGTGTGTTTATATATATTATGTATGATATGTTTGAATATTGATTTTATTATAGTCACTTGGAAAGAAATTTTTAGCAAAGGATGCCTACGAACATCAGTATGTAGTTTTATTAATATATTCTTTTTATAATCAGAGATTTATTTTATTTGTTTAAAATTAACTAATAAATGAATAAATAGAAAAATTGGTACGGCTGTAGGGTTTATTAAAGAAGCGCGTGAAGCGTTTCATCAAATTTCAAAATCAAAATCATCTACACTTGCTGTACATGCTTCGCAAGAATATACAGAGGTTAATGATTTGTATAATAGTTACGTGAGAGTTAATGATTCAGTTAGTATCATATTATTATTATCATCTTTATCATTGGAAATTGGAAGATATCATTACTTATATAATTAATATTATTAATTGATTAATTATAGATTGCATTTGATACAGTTCCATCTAGAGCAGATCTTCAAGCACTTATTCCTGGTGGACGTATAGTACAAGAGTTAACAAAATATTCAAAACCTGATCCAGCATTTGGACCTTATAAAGAACAACAAATAGGCCCATCACCTTATAGATTTTTAATTTAGTATTTATTTATTATTTATTTAACCATTCATTAATCATTATCAAATAAATTATCAATTGATTACTATTTTGTGAGAATCAGCTGCTTTAAATTCATTGCTTTCGTAAGTTATTTTGCCAATTAAAAATTTTTTGATTGATTGATAAAAACCCACTCTCATACCGGACAAATGTTTAATTAACGTAATAAAATTTTTGATGATCGACATTGAAATTTCATGCCTTCAAGCCTAGTGATTCTTAATATATTTCATATAAAAAGAAAATATTGACGAATAATCAATCAACGTTAATTAAAAATTTTCGTGTCTTGTTTATAAAAGTAGAATTTCTATTCGTATTCGAATTATTCATTTATTAATTGCTTTAGCAAATTCTTCTTTCCAATTATCTTTATTTGTTTCATCATACAAATTCTTATTAGAATTATTCATAATAGTAGTAATACAACTCAATTAATTTGAATTATTCATTTTATTAACTTTATTCTCTAGGTTGAACAGACTTGAGTTTTCAGGTTCGAGCCAAGCAGGCTCTTAAATTGTTTTTTAGATAATGTTCATAATAAATAAAATCAAAGTATTAGAAAAAAATCCGTGTAACATCAAACTTGAGCCTGGCTTGTATTTGATTCAAATCATGGATTCATTATTATAGATTCGAACCAGTCAGTTTGAATCAAATCAAATCAGTTCAAATCAAATTATATATTCAAATCAGTTCGAATTGTATCAAATTATATATTCGAATCCGTTCGAATCAAATTATATATTCGAATCTGTTCGAATCGAATCGAATCAATCCGAATTCGAATCGGTTCGAATTGGTTCGAATTCATTGATTCGTTCGGAGCCTTATTTGCAATACATAACTGTTGATATTATTGTATTAACATTCAATTGTTCGACTTGAAGTGTTTTCTTGGTTCTTCTTGTTATTATTATTGATGTTGTTAGTGAGTTGTGGACAATTACATTTTACGTGTCCTTGTTGACCACATTGGAAAGTATTTTACCAGCACATTGTTTTCAGTATTAGCATTATTATGGATCCTAGGTCTTTGATTCTATTGGAAATTATTTCCCTTCATCATATTAACCAGCTGATTAATTAATCCTTGCGGTTGTTGATCTGCTGCTTTATTTATTCCTGGAATGTTGGGTACGAATTTTTCTGCTGAATAGTTCCTCCTCGTGAGTAGGTCATCTCATAAGCCTTGGCTCTATCAATCAATGTTGTGACCCTAAACTCCAAGTTTAGGGAAAACCTGAAACCAAAACCTCCCTAAATTAGTTAGGAAGTTTTTAAAATCCTAAACCTTACCAAAACCTAAACTCTTACCAAAACCCATACTGAAACTAATTTTATACCGAAACACAAAAAATACCAAAACTTAAACCCTAACCTGAAACCTAAATCCTTACCAACACAAACTTTATACCAACAATTTATTTTTATTTTCTAACTATTTTTACACCAAACAATAACAAATTATACCAATTGATTTTATTTCAAGAATTTTTTTAGATGGATTAAAAAATTTAAAAATTTATTCAAATTTATTAATTCTTTTCCTTAATGTAAATTTCTTCTTTGGTGTATTTTTAGATTTTTTTTCTTTTATTTCAACATCATTATCATTCATTATCTGAATTTTCATCATTACTTCCATATAAATAAATCAATGTTATTTTCAAACCCCCTTCTATTAATATTACTAATTTTTTCACCACCATCATTAATTTCTCGAGAACTTTGAATTTCATCATTATTATTTTCGTTGCAACTTCTATCTTCATTATCAAAACCTAAATTATGTGAATCATAATCCAAATCTTCCTCATCAATATCACATTCATAATTAATTATTTTTTTCTTTTTGCAGTATTAATATCATTTTCACACATCACATCAAAAAAATTGGAAATCAAATCATTGGGGTTATAATCATAATTTTCATTATGTTGTAAATTCTCTACACTTATATCAATTTCATTTTTGCTACTACCTTCATAATTAAATAAAGAATTATTTAAATCTATGTAGACTTTTATTAGAAAATCAATATCTCTATTATAGTTATAATAATATTCATAATCGTCAGGATCAATATCTGATTCTGTATCAATGGATTCAGTGTTACATTTCTCAAATTCAAATAAATAATAAGCGGAATTATTGGTTTGAATTTTGAGAATAGTTAGGTTTTGGATATGGGTTTAGGTTTTGGATATGAGAATTGCTATTTCTCACCGGTGGTGATTGTCACCACCTAAGGAATTAAATTTGCGTGGGGCGGAGTTAGGGTTGGGGTTAATCATAAATTGTATAATTCCTTAGGTGGTGACAATCACCACCGGTGAGAAATAGCAATTCCCTTTGGATATGGGTTTAGGTTTCGGATATGGGTTTAGGTTTTGGTGTTGGTTTAGATTTCGGGTGTGGGTTTAGGTTTTGTAACCCGAAATCTAAACTAGATAGTTTACCGAAACTGTTTCGGGAAGCCAAAAGGATTTGGGGTCACAACATTGCTATCAATTACATCTTGGATGTTATTAGGTAAGGCCATAACCTTTCCATAAACATTCTGGCTTTTATTTTATCTGGGTAGTTATTCTCCCCATGTCTGATTCTTCTGAACATTTCGTAAATGTGTACTGTGAAAGCATTAACAATTTCTCCAGGTTGTTGTTTTCGTTTCTCTAATCCAGCTGCCATCCTTCTTCCATTGCTTCTGTCCTATATCTTGTTTGTAAATTTGAAATGAAACTTTCTACTATCATACCATTGTAAGTCTGATTATCCCAATGTTGAACACCTGCCTGGTCTTGATTCCACCATGTAGCTGCTCCTGCCTTTAGTCTTGGCGCAGCCGTTGCTACTTTGAGATCATCTGCTACTCTATTTGCAACGAAAACTTATTCCGTTTCATCTAACCAGGTTATTGGGCCCTGATCTCCTCCAAAGTATTCAGGATATTTTACATTTTTCAATACTGTTGGGGTAGCAGGTTGTGGTAATATAGCGTTCACCGCCTGTTGAAGTGTATTAGCAAGAGTTTGTATATCTTGTTGATGTATTGGTTTGTTTACTTGTTTGGTTTCGTGGTTTACTACTGGTTGATTTAAATTGAAAAAGTCACCTATATAGATCTGAAATAGAATTGCCATCTGAGTCACTAGGGTTGTCACTATCTCCACTTGTTTGCTCTACAGAACTTGATATAACATCGTTTGGTGCCAATGAAATTGATTAGTCCTTGCTGCTGCTTCTATATATTCTGATATAATTCCCTGTATAATGCTATAATACTTGAGATAAATTCCAAACTCGTTTTGGGTCTTGTCCTACTAATAAATGCTCGAAAGCAAAGAGGGTATATGAAGTGCAATATATGGCCTGATAGTTATCAGTCATTCAATTCCAAAATATGAGGAATTGTGGTGAGAAGTTTTGACATAGTAGGTTGCAATCATGGCAAGATAGGTCCCGCCCGATGAAGGTGAGTTATAGTTGTTAAACATGGATGTAATCGACGTTGTCTTTTGTGCTCTAAAGTATTTTGCTCTATAGTATCAAAGTTCATTCAACTAATCCTCATAAGGATCTTCTTCGTATGGCAAATCGTCTGGGATATCCTTTTTTAATTAATTTGTCGCAATTTTTCTTCAAATGTCCTCTTCCTTTGCAGAGTTCACAATAAAGTGGTTTTGAAAAATGAATTCTATATCTTCCGCCTCAATTAGTCCTTGGACTTTACAATATTTCTTGATATGATCTTTTGTTTCACAAGAATAACAAATTTTGTAAGGCTCTTCTAGTTGGTAGTGATATTTGAAAAGTTGATCAAGATGTTTAGAGAAATAATTAAAGACCAAATTGATTAACTGAGAATCCTTAATGTCATCTTGAGAATTTGTTGGTAAACTTGAACAAAAACTTCTGATTTGATGTTGATTCTCTCAATTGGATTTACAAAATTTTTTGAATAAAATGGTTACCTCGTAAGGTGTAAATAAAGTAATAAATAATAAAAAAATAAAATAAAAGAGAAAGAATAATAATAATAACTCACAGATACCTTCACTCGTTTATGAGTTAGTGGAAGGTGCAATTTTATGAAATATCTCGAAAAAAAAAAAAAGAAAAGAAAATATTAACAAAATTCTGTAGATTTCAATTAAAAAATTTTATCTTCTTGGTGTAAATTTCCACACAATCTGCACCGATTATGATTTGGGAGGGCGTATTAATTGATAATAACAATAATTTTTGATTGTGTGGATCAGAATGAATTGGCTATACTAACGAATTAGTTTTTATTAGCGTTTTATGATTTAAGAAAATGTTTGATTTTTTTAATACCAACTATAAGAATAGGCTTACAGACCAGACAGAGCTTGGTATATTTGCTTTAAAATAAAACGTATGGTTGGTTGGAAGGGTTAAACCAACTTATCCTGTACTTTTTATACACTTACTTTATTTATTTAGGATCGCGAGCACGATCTGATTGGGCGTAACCAATTAGATGGTACTTTTAAAATTTTTAGGTGTTTTTATATTTGCAGAGCGCCTTGATATATTCAAGATGTATTTATTCGTGCCCTCTTGTATGTTGTCGTATTTCATCGTAAAGTATATCGTCCGGGTAAAAGTTTCTGATTTAATTATTTTTGAATTGCATTAAATCACTTGTGAATATTTCACATAACCCGCACCAAGTTGACAATATTTTTACGTTAATGTGGATCAGAATGAATAGGTTTTAATCAATGAAATAGTTTTATTTAGAAAATTTTTGGTTTATATTACAAAGTTATTGTTACAGTATGTCGATTTCAATCTTTTCGTATGCATGTTAACTAATTAGTCGTTGCATAGCCATCAAATGGCAATATTTGTTTTTTCAGCCATTTAATGGTTATTCCGCACTCTTCGTGATGTCAGAATCATCCCTCGTTAATTTCTACCAAAAGTTAAATAGATAATAACGTGTTACGAAATAATTAATACATATTAATATAAAAATTAGATTAATCCGGAATTGGAGAGCTTCGGCTAATGATAACAATATCTTTAGCAAAGAACCACCATACAAGTTTTATGAAAAGTTGCATTTAATTACGATCTCAAGGTATTTAAATCAATCAAAATTTTATAACAATAAATGATGATAATAGGTTTGTTTTTTTTTTTAGTGCTAGCGCAGCAAAAAATTAAAAAAAAACGACTCATTACAATATTTCACCCATAAAAAAGAAGAAAATAA